CTTTAGGGTCGCCCAGCCTTGCCCCTTATACCCTTTAGGGATTAGGGCCAGTTTAGGGTTTGCTCCCTTTCTTTTGGGTTCCTGAGTTTAGGGTTTAGGCTTTAGTGGCATGGTTGGCCAGAGGACCGCTGGAAATGCTCTCCGGCGCAAGGTTCACAGCGCGTCGGGGTCGAGTGCGGCCAGGCCACGTTTCATGTGCGCCCCATGTAATCAGACCTGGTCTGACATTTGAAGCCCTGAACGCGATCTCCCTGCTAGCGACACCCTGTGCAGTCCCATGAAGAGTCATCATGAGGCCCGAGACCTCTGATCCCAAAAGATTTTCGGCTGTGCTTCTCAGACCAACTGACCAAGAATCCTCCATCCCAGACCCCGGGCAGGATCCACAAGCAAGGGTAGATGTCTTAACGGAGGGTTCCTATAAAGCATCCTTTAGAAGCCTGTAGGGTCCCGAACGGTTCTACTTTCTAGATCCTCCCGGGGGAGGGTTGAGGGTTCATTACGATCGTTAACACCATTGTTTTTTCGGTAGCAGTGTTGTTACTAGTAATATACTTTAGTATACCTTGAAACCGTGTTCATATTGGTTTTCCCTCATTCTTAGAAACAGGGGCTTGCGGCTGACGTTGGCATGGAGATCGCGTAGTCACAAAGCACCGCTGCAACGTAGCTCGCACATCCTCAGCTTCCAGAGCTTCGAGCGGCGGAAAAGTCGGACTCAGGTTTCCCTAAAAAAAAACCCTCAAAGCTTAAACCGTATAACTTGGAAAAGCGCTGGTATGCTAAAAACAAGTTTTAGAGATCCAGGATGATCCAGGGGTTTTCGTACATATGAGTGGGGCGAGTGCTGGTGCAGGACCTGGGGTCTGGGCTGGTGCAGAATCTGCGGTTTGGTAGACATCCAGGGTTTCGTGCATAGGCGCTGGTGCAGGATGTGGGGTCTTGCAAATCAGGCCCCGCCGACCTGACCCCGGCCTCAGCCAACCCGAGCAGTTTCAGCCAGCCCCCACACCCACCTCTTTCGTGCCCTGCCGTTTGTCCGGCTGGCCCGGCCAGCGCCCGGGCCCCAGCCCCAGCCCGCCCCCCTGTCCCCGACCCGGCCCCTGTTCCGGCAGGTTCCGACGGGTTCCGAGCATTTCCCGCATGGCCGGGCGGCCACCCAGCGCGGGGGGGGGGTCGGGGCCCGGGGCGGGATCCAGACCCGAGGCCGGGGCCGCTGAAGCCGGGGTTTGATCACGCACCGGTTACCCCGCACCTTACCTTTGCCCTAGAATAAGCCACTGAGATCACGCACAGCTAGATGCAACAACCCCCGCACCTTACCTCTTTGCCTTAGATGAAGCACCGCTAGACGCACCAACCCCGCACCTTACTCACTCTGGGTGTTTTAAGCATGCCGGGCCCCTGGCAACCTATAACCCTAAAAAGAAAAAGAAACGGGCAGTTCAGGATTCAACCTGAAATCATACCTTGCTTATACTATATCTTAACGGATACGGTTGATGATATAAATCCTGCATTTACGCTAAGGACCCTAGGCCCTAAACTATGGGAAGTATGGCATATTATGTTCATTTATGTTCCCTTTTATGGGTAATGCAGGATTTATATCATCGGCCATAATGGAGGGGTTTGGGAGCCTGGGCTTTTGAAGACCTAACGAAGCCAAAGCCCTTCATTCCGGAATAGCCCGTGACATCCCCTATAAACCCTATAGATTTCATGCTTGAAAAACCCTTGGTGTTTTTGTTCAAACCGAAGCCCTGAACCCGAAACATGAAGCCCTATATGCTGAACCTGGACGCTACACGCTTTATGTACATTCAACCCAACCTGGACCCTATCAAGCCTGCCTGTGATTAGGGATACTGAGTATGCTTTCCTTATACAAGTTCAAAAAGAGTAGGTTGATTTGAGGTCAAGGCAAACCGTAAGCCCTACTGGTAGTCCAGGATCCCAGCCAGGTTCGAGGTTAACCTCTTAGTCATGGACTCGCGGATCTTTTCGGCTTCACGTTTTGCCACTTTTTAAACCCGGCTTTGAAATGGCGGCCTGAACAAGCACAATCACGGTCTTGGGGTTTGCCCTACTCTCTTACAAGCATACAGAAGGCGATGTTTTCTTGGCATTTGTTAGACACAGTAGAAACATTGCTAGCATACCATGTACAGAGACTGCTGCCCGCCAGGAAGTCGATACTGGTCCGCAACCCTTAGACCCTAAATCCTTAAGCCGGCCTAGACCGTAAACCCTGAGACCGCAAGCCTTAATAGAGGAGCTTGAATAACTAGTGATACCATTCCATAGGGTTCCTTATCATCGCCATACATAGTGTTGCTTACTCTACGCTCGTTTTCTACATCTTAAGGCACCTTGCATTTACCCTCATCATAAACCCGATAAACGTCTGCTAAAATTCATAAAGTCTTGCAATACAAAAGCCTTGTTCTACTCGTGAAGGCTCCTAACATCAAACTCTTCGACCGAATACCAACACTTGAGGTCCTAGACCGGGCTTGTTGCTAAGCTGTCTCGGACTACAGCATTGGTCCCTTGATCCGTTCTCGTCACACAGGTTTGAGCCAATGCAAATTACATAAGATAGTAGATGGCTAGAGTCGGCTAGGTTCTCATGCACAACAGAGACAAGGTAGAATTGCTCGACAAGCACAACCGAACGGCTCTTCGGTGGCAGCGCAGCTTCTCTCTCAGGTTCCCAGGATGGAGCGTGATGCATGCGGCACGATGTGCTGTGGGTGAGCTGGCGGGGACCTGTGCCACTAAGGACATCGAAAACCGCAGCATCAGGTGAGCCCGCAGATTGACTCATGTCCTACCGGCACTAGAAAGAAGACGAAAGAAGACATCCGCGGTTGTGGTTTGCACTCACGGTTCAGCAGGGCACCTGCCTGTGTGCACAAAGACCCATGAAAAACGCCTCGAAGTGTGCCTCGGCAGTGTAAGCCGATGCTTTTGCCGTTTACACTCCGACCTTCCCTGGCTCGAAGAACTGAAGTGTACGTGGCACCGCCAGCAGCCAGCAGCCTTGAGGACACGTGTGTGAAATCCAGGGCGAAGCTCGTGAGTGGCTCCCATATGGAAGCAAATATCTGGCTGTCGGTGCTCCGTTCTTCTGCGTCCGGACTTTCGGGAGGACGCGCCAGCCTGCAGATTCAGGCGGTGTCCAGGCAGGAGCCATGAGCTGTGGTCAACACAACCTTGAGATGCTCCCGATGCAGCAGTTTGCGTTTGCCCAACTTCCCAATCAAGCCCATATACATGTTCTCGTGCAAGTCCTGTCGTTTCTCGCACCCTAGAGCGGGTTTGCTCGAGCACGGCAGAGCTTGCGGAACGGTCCATCGTCAGACTTGGTATGGTGATATATGGTGCATCTGGGCCTGTCATGCAAACAGCCTAAACGTAGGCCGGCTCTTTGAGGTCTAGCTGGACATGGGCCTTCAGTACCCCGTAGTGATGTAGAATCCGTAAAGCCGTAAAGCTACCTTTGTCTGAGTCCAGTCCCGGGTGCGCCTTGCACGTGGGCAGGGCCTGGGTGCAGAGCGCTGGACGCCATGGCAGAAGGCTGGGTGCTCAATCACAATAATCTTCAGTGTACCATTTCAAATGATAGTAATTAATTGTAATCATAACAGTTTTATTATTATAGTAGTATAATAGTAATATATATTCATAGTATTAGTAATCGTAAAACACTAGATAGTAATAAGAAGAAGCAGAAGACTAGTAATAATAGTTATTATAAAAAAAAGTAATCCTGTTAATAATCATAATTCAACACTACGTCCCAACATTGGCCATGTCTTCGGTGGAAGGCATCATTCTAGCAGCGGGTCTGTAGCGACCGGATGATGGCCCTTTGAAACAGCTCAGTTGGCAATGAGTGCCACCTACGATCTATTGTTGCAGGGTAAGCCAAGTCAGGGCATACCGGCCTCCGGCTTATGCCCCTCTTATGTTGCTCGCGTGGAAGTTGTGACAAGACTCTAGTCTCCTGGCACTTCACGGACCTGAAATCCACGTTCCAACAGCAAGAACCACTAGGCCCACCCCCATGGCATCACTGTCAGCAGTAATGGCAGCAGCAGCAGCAGCAGCACCAGCACCAGCAGCAGCAATGCTGCTGTGGCTGCCCCCACCCCCACCACCACCGCCACCGCCACCACCACCACCACCGCCGCCACCGCCCCCACCACCACCACCACCACCACCACCACCACCACCCCCGCCACCACCACCACCACCACCACCACCACCACCGGTAGCACCTCCGAATAGCTAAGAAGAGCAACAGCCGCAGCAAGAGCATCAGCAGGACCTGCTGCTGAAACCGCAGCTGCACCTGCGTTTCTATTCTCGTCTTTGTCTTCGCCGCCGTCGTCGTCCAAACATGGTGGATTGCAATTCTGGTTTGCCCGATCTGTAAATCAATCGAGAGATAGTTACCACTTTCCATGCCCTGTGTAGCAAAATAGATCGCCGTTATGGTCGTGGAACCGCCAGCAAGCCTGGAAGAGCGTGCTGGACTTCACTGGGGCTGGCTCCTCATCAAAACAGTAAACAAAGTACAGGTACTGTAGCATGCACTGTTGAAGCGCCTACGATTTTTGCGTTCCGGGTCCTACCATCCAAAATATCACTTCACCCCGGCATCCCGCACTGCCCAATATTCGGCTCAGGTCAGGCCGCTGAAGCTCCAAAGGCACACTTTCTTCCCTGCGCAGACGTAGAATGGGCGCCTTCGGTGCATGCCTTGATAGAGACTTGCACCAACTCGCATCTGGCAAAGTGGAGGCCGAGCAGGCGCCTACAGAGGCCCAGCCTCAGGCCTTGGAAGCCCCTCTGCGGCACCATGCTTGTGCAGCGTTTGTGCCAGGACTCCAAGAAGAGCTTCGGTCCTGTGCTCAGGAAGACGGAATGCAGCGCAGCGACTCACGACCATGGTGTCAAAGGTTCAATGTATTCCAATGTCGATGCAGGCACTGCATGGTTTTGTATTGCCATGCAGCTTCAAGGTGGGCCAAGGAAGCGACTCATGTGGGGCCGCGTCTTCTTGGGACAGGCCTTATCAGTTGCCAGTCGGCGCAAGCAAGGATGTTAGCCTCGGAGCTCCACTGCAGATGTAGCTGAGCTGTGGGGCAAGAACAAAAGCCTGCGCTGCAGGTGGTGGATTGGAAGGCCATTTTGCTGCGGGAGAGTTCTTTGAACCTTTGCTCGGTCTTTGTGGCCGGCTACTGGCTGAGTGTGAGATCGGTGTCATAAAATAGAATGTTCCCCCAAACAGTGTGACACACAATAGGGGGTTCGTATGTCAGGATGGGGGTAGAGAAGATTTGTTAGAGCCTCCGAGAGATACGCCCGCGCACTCACGTCCCGTGTTCTTTACACAGGACCCGTCGCCCCAAAGACAAATCCAATGTACAATCCAATGCATTGCCTACTTGTTTCGCCCAAATCTCCGGATCCCGGCCGGACTTGTTGGGGGAAGCTTTTTGGGCCGTTCAGTTCTCATGCTACTGGGCTTTGCCCAGGTTCGGGAATCAGGAACATGAGGCATTCGTTGTTCCCACATGATGTGTCTGGAGATTGCGACAGCATCACCTATTAGTCATAATTAGTCTGGATCGTGAAAGTGATCAGTTTGTTGCCTAAGCTATGTTTTGGTGGTCCTTGTTGGGTGGTGTCCCGATGGTCTCCTGAGGCTTCTTGGTACTGTCCTGGAGGTCTCCCCATGGTCTCCTGGTGGTTTTGTTGGGGTCTCTTGCCGGTCATCGGGTGGTCTTTTGGCGGTCTCCGGGCGACCCCTCGTGGTTTAGTTTCGTTCGTTTCTGGGTGGTCTCCTGAGGCTGCTAAGCGTCTGAACTGGTGGTCCGGTCTCCTGGCTAAGTACATGGCCCTGTCGCATGCGGGGTGTGCCCGCAGGGTGCTCGTGATGTGTTGTATGGTCGCGCACTGTTTACTGAACTGTTTGCAGGTCCATCTATGCTGGCATGATTTTTCTTGACAACTCTTTGCCGTGTTTGCCCGTCCAAAGAGAGCTCGCCTGAGCAACTCGGTCGACCCGGTAGCACACATTCAGGCTCCATCTTCAAATTCGCCTTCTTTTGTTCATCCGGCCGCTATCCGGTCTGATTCGCCCACTCATGCTCTTACTCACGCTCTCGCGCAGCGCCGGTTCTCATGGCCGCCGTTCTCATGATCATGCTCCTGCCGTTGTCCCTTTCGGTTCTAAGCTGTGCTGGGCGACCGGGGCCACACTGCCTGCAGAGTTTCGGAGCGACCGGCCCAGACCTCCTGATCAAAACAACCTCGGTTCCGACTTTGCATAGATAGCAGTCACAGCTTCATCCTTTGACGTGGTATCTGCGGTTTGGTCAACATGTTGCAGGGAAAGTATGGCTGGATCCAACCGGCAGAGCCGATCCTCCACTTCAAGGCGGATTTGAAATACATTTGTGTGTGTGTGTCTATTCCGGTACTCCGGGCATGCAAGACGACTCTCGAGTTGGAATCACGTTTTGTTGAGTGCATATGGAGGCCAACCTGCGACAAGGGAGGATCTTTGTCAGTGGCGTGCTCAAGCACATGTCAAGCTAACCATTGCAGGGCCGGAGGCGCATTCTCAGTGGGACACAGCTGAGGTAGAACCGACTTAGTCGACTCCTCAGCCGAGGCTATGTTTCGGCTCCTCTGCGGTAGCGGTAGCAGGGTGGTGCTTGTGCTGGGTTACTCTATTAGCAGTGCTTACATGTCGCTTGTTCAGTAACCTTAGGTTGTCCGAGTGTGAGCGCCGAAAGGTGGTCCGTCGCGCCTGCAGCGGCAAGCATGCGCATCGTACGGAAGCCGCACCGCATCGCATATGTCAAAGACAGAGGTAGGAAAGCTTGACAATCTAGTCCACCACGAAGGTTTACGACAGTGTCAGTTTGGAGCCTTGTGAAGTTCTCAACATCTGCTCACTCACTTCTGCACAAGATTGCGGAATGCACTGTTCTGGCCTCATTGGGGCATGCCTGGACATGGAATGGCGACGTCTGCACTCTTCTTGGAGAAGCTTCTTGGCGCCTGAGAGATTGGGAGCGGTGAGCTCGTGCAGTAAGTGTGGCAATGCGCATGCAATGCGTGTGCTTGGAAGGTCTGGCCCCGGCCGCTCCTTGTCGCACTGCGCTCGACCAACATCCTTCAAGCTGGATGAGATTGCCCGACACTCAGTCACGATGCGAGAGCTGACCGAAAGTCTAGCCTTCGCACCTGTACGGGATTCTTTTACAGCACCGGTCACTCCCCTCTGAGCCGTACACGCCGCCGGACACGAAGAAGCAAGCCGAGCCTCGTGACAAGCACGAGGCGGCGCCCGAGGCCTGCAGTAGCTGCGTGATGACACCGGAGTTACTACTGCCTGTATGTGTCCCAGCCCAACTTGAGAGGATTATGTGGACCCCGACACGTATCCGGAGAACCGCGGGCAGGACGGTCCGAAGCCTCTCGGCAGGATGCGGCAACATCTGCGCCGGGCAGAGAGAGTCAAGCTTTTGCAGCCGAGGCCTCACGGCTTCCTGGCTAACAGCAAGCAGAATCGGTTCTCGAATGCGGCAGTGATGCTTCGATAAGACGATGCACATTGCAGCGCATGTTGAAAGAGCAGCGTCAGGCGGTAAGCGTTGCTGGAGTTTCGCTCAGAGTTGTGTGGTGTACAGGTGTAGCAAAAGATGTGCAGAGAAGAAAGCAAGTGCTTTGGAAAATCAGGTGAACAGAAGTCATGCAAGAAGGGGATCGACTATGCCCAGACCTGTCCTATCGGCTGGAAGTACGTGGCCTGGCTGAGTTTGGCTCGACAGCGAGGAGGCAAAGAACAGTTTTGAAGAGAGAGAGAGAGAGAGAGAGAAAAAACAAAAAAACATAAACTGCCAGCAGATGACAAATGGGTGTCCCAAAGTTGTACTGAGCTGCAATTCGGGGGACATACAGACGAATACTCCGTTTTGACAGCTGACCTTTCACACCCCCTAAAAACCCCATGAAATTTGGGGGGCCAACTGGCCGGGGGTCTAACCGACCCCTCATGCC